TTTTTTTTTTTTTTACTGTTTTTTCTTTGGTAGTACTGGGGAGTGAATCCTGGTCCATCACACTGAGCTGTTTCCCCAGCCATTTTTTTGAGACAGTTGCTAAGGCTGGGCTCGGACTTGTAATCCTTCTGCCTCAGCCTCCTGGACTGCTGGGATCACAGGATCACACCACCAGGACCAGCTAGGTAGTTACTTTTAGTAAAGCAATAATACAAAATAGCTGCCCACTTTATCACACAGTATGTAAGCTTCCAGGCCTTACTGTTTTCTCCTCACATCATATTATGAAGAACATCCACCTTGTTTGGGAGGATGCAGCTTGTCACAAGTGAGGCTTCTATGAATGGTCCTGCCATGTGCATCTTTGCACGTACCATGTCCTATGTGCACCTGTCTGTCTCTAGTGTATACCTGGGAGTAGAATCACTCAGTTATAGAGAATGTGAGTGATCACATTCAGTGGGTGTTATACCTCATTTGCTGCTCCTATAACAAAATACTCAAGACTGGGCACCTTAGAAAGAACAGAATTCTACTTGGCCATGTATCTAGAGGCTAGGAAGTTTTCAGTTTTTCTTGAAAAATATCCAGAAGGAATAGTTAATGCTTACATTTTTTCTCTTTAATTTTTTGACCAATTTTGCATACTTATATCTGGTAATTTGAACAACTAATTTGAAGACAACAATATGCAACATAACAACCATTGTTGGATTCCTACCATCTTGTTTAGTGAAGTTCTGTGTAATTTCTAATTTTTTATTACTTTTTATTCTCTTTAATGGTTTGATCACTCTTGCATTCTTATATCTGATAATCTGAGCAACTTCACTGAGGATAACAATGTGTAATATAACAACCACTGTTAATTTCTTTCATCTTATTTTGAAATCCTGTATCTTTGTATTGTTTTTGTGTTGTTTTGGTTTTGTCTTTGTTGTTATTATTTTGTCATTTTTTTTCTCTTTAAAATAAAAATAATAGAATAAGAAATAAGTCTTGGGGACAGAGAAAAAGCGTGGAGGCTGCGAAGCTCAAGAACACGGCACCAGCATCTCCTCAGGGTCTGGTGGGGCCGTGTGCTGTGCTGTAATGTGGCAGAGGCCATCACTTCATGAAATACAGCAAGCGTCCTAGCACAGATCTGTCTTCCACTACTTACAAGGCCACGAATGCCAACATAGGGGCCCCACCCTGTGACCTCACCTACTCCTTATTACAGTCCAAAGGTCCCACCTCCAAGTGCCACTAAATGGAAGATTTGGAAATTCAGTTTTCAACACACAAATGCTGGGGGACACAGTGAAGCTATAGCGGTTACCAGCTGTTTTCCCAGGGATGTGTCAAAGTGGGACCTTTTCCGAACAAATTGTCAAACAAGTCCCTCCCCCACCCTGCCTTCATGGAATTGATCTGACTAACTCTGAACACAGAAGTGTACACCTATCCCGCTTCACTGTCAGTGCTGGTTTGAACTCATTGACCTGGACTTTCGAGCTTATTTTCAATCCTGCTTGTGGCATCCATAATATTAACTGCCTTCCCCCAGTTTCTCCAACCTTTTAAAGTGTGTTTCTCGTCCTATAAAATGATGACGGGAAGTGGCAGCCACTGCGCAGGTGCCTCCCGTCCGCTGAGCTTCATGCTGTTGGGTTCGTTCTCACAGCGCCGATATTAGGCTTGGTTCACAGAAGAAGCTGAAGCCCAGGGAAGTTAAGTTACCCACAGTGAAGAACAAGAGTCAGGCCATGCTCTTTCCCCTAAATTTCATGCGTTCCCCACCTCAGGCCATGTGGGGAGCCCAACTGTGTGTCCTCGAAGCCCACCTCACCTGCCAGCACCCCCAGCTTCTTCTCCACTCCGGAGTCCAGAGGTGCAGCTCCACCACCTACACAGCCCCCTCTACCTCTTAGCATCCATGCAGCATGTGGGAGAGAGAAACCCGGCACTGGGGTTTGAGGCCAGCTCTGCGGCAGAGTCTGGAGGTTATCTCACTTCTGTTGGTGATTCCTGAGGTCTTCTTTCAGCTCTCTGAGGTCCGGTGTCTGCGTGTGCAGACGGTTCATCGGGACAGGGTGTGCGACAGGCGTAACTGGGGACAACACGTGACACGTCCAGTGGCTCCACATCAGTGTCACTGAGCTCCATTAAATGGTGGCACTTTTAAACTTCTTTTCTCACGAGGAACTAAACCCTATCATTCCTCTTACCCACTTTTTCAGAAACTTGTATATGTATAGTTTGGGTGAAAACATTTCAAACTAAAGTCTCATTTCCAGTGATCAGAGCAGAAGTTAAATGTAAAATGACTCACGATTGTCACTGTCTCATGTTTCCACATTGAGCTGAGATGATCCGACTCTCCCTAGGTGTCGAGGGTGATGAAGAAATTAGGCATTTGGATGAAGAAATAAAGGAACTGAATGAATCCAACCTTAAAATTGAAGCAGATATGATGAAACTTCAGACTCAGGTAAAAACTAATGAGTTATCTTTAAAATAATTAAAAACATCATAATCTTTAGTGGAAGCAAAACATTGAACTTTCTAAACTTTGGGTCTGAAAATATCTAATATCTTAGAGGGAATGTACCAGAAGCTCCTATTACACTGTTGCTGTAAAATCTTGGGTAGGTGAGTCATCCTGGGTCACTGATGGATAGCTGTACAGAGTTATTCATTTCTTGCCCTGGTTGCTTGAAGCCTTTGTTAGCAAATAGAACAGATCATCCTACAATTGAAGGATACCATAGAGTACACAATGCTTTAGAAATAATCATGGATTTGCATCCTTAGTTTTATCCAAAATTCAAATAAAACATCACAACTTTTTAATTTTTTCCTGAAGAATCATGCAACATGTATCAGTCTTTGCTAGAAACACTTCCTACTTCACATTTTCTTAAGCAGATTCTTTATCCAGAAAAATCTAAGCAGCTTTTCAGTGCTGCGTCCTCCGAAATGACTGCCTCTTTTATACACATGGAAATCAAAAGTGGAGTCCAGGATTTTTGAAACATTACTAATAACTATTGCACCAAGTCAGAAGGAAAAGAACAAGACAGCGCAGAAGGCCTTGGGTCCTTCTCACTTTCCTTCTCTCATTCCTGAAGTGCAGGGGTTTTACCACCATGGCTACTGGCATCACAGGCCTCAGCTTGAGCAGCTGAAGACAGTGTGGACCCATGTGAAATGCAGTTTAAGCTTCCTCACTGAGCAGCGCAGGTTTCTCACAGTCTTCTCTCCATGGCCACAAGGTCCACAAAAAGAGCTTGGTGTCTTGGTTTGGAAATCATGGGAATCCTTGGGGAGAATTAGCCAAGAATGCAAAACCTTGGCCCTTAGGGAGCTTCAAGTCTAGAAGGAGGAGTTGGACAGTAAACCACAGTAATCGTTCACGACAAATCCCTCTGCAGGGGGTAAAGAAGGGCGGTGGAACAAGTGACTGGGTTTCGATATTAGATAGGGCAACCAGGCCCCAGCAAAAAGAAAGTATCTCAGCAAGGACTTGAGGTTGAAGGAACTAATCCGACAGGCACGGGGAAGAATATTTCACACAGAAAATGCACTCAATGCCAAATCCCTAATGGCGAAAAGCCTAGGGATCTGGGGAACGGCAAAGAGGGAGGGCGTGTACGGGTAAGCAAGCTGGCTGGGGGTGAGTCACAGGAGAAGGGCCCCCAAAGTGACAAAAGGCTGTTCCCAGGGCATACTGGACCATTGCAAGGCCCTTGGCTTTTATTCTGGATGAATGCACAGCTGTTGTGGGACTCTGAGCTCGTGAACAACGAGATCATATTTGACTTATGTGCTGGCTTGTGTTGGAAGAGATTACTGGGGTGGCTGTGTGAGGAAGGGGCCAGAGATTCCACGGGACAAAGGCAGGCACATGCCCACCTGGGACGCAGGAGCGGGGCTGGGATACAGCAGCATGGGAGGTGGGGGTGGAGGGACAGTGGCCCCTTCCTGGATATTTTAAAGGAAGTACCCAGTGGATCTGAAGTGAGAGAGAGATAGAGACAGACAGACAGAGACAGACAGACAGAGAAAAACAGAGACAGAAAGAGGAAGAGACACAGAGAGAGAGAGAGGGAGAGAGAGAGAGCAACAGCCATAGGATGCCACGATGTCTGAGGGACAGTTGGTGCCATCAGTCTGTGGAAGAAGAAATGTCGGGGAAACAGCAAAGATTTGCTTTGGGCCACACTGAGCTTCCCCACCATGTAACCTTGAAGAGAATCTGGGCCTGCAGTGTGTGGAGAAGTCTGGGCTGAAGGTGGAAATCTGAGGATGTGATTCTCCACTGAGACCAGCACAGGGGCATTGTGTGCCTGGCAGGGGACGCAGCTCTCCGCATCTGCACTCAGCCGCGTCTTCCCCACGGAAAAGCCTTTTGTGCACCTTCCCAAGTCCACTGCTCATCTTCCTGAGTCATTTCCCTTCCAGATCACATCGATGGAGAGCAACCTGAAGACCATAGAGGAGGAGAACAAACTCATAGAGCAGAACAACGAGAGTCTGCTGAAAGAGCTGGCGGGCCTGAGCCAGGCGCTCATCTCCAGCCTCGCTGACATCCAGCTTCCACAGATGGTAAGTCAGACGCTCGAGCTTTGCTGCCCCACCAGAGGGTTGCATGTCACCAGGCAGTGGGGGGCTGTCCCTTAGCTTAAGCAGGACCCAGCTGTGAGGAGCCTGTCAACCAACAGCCTCAGTGCTACTGCGGCTCCACCATGGCCTCACTTGCAGTCAACTCCTGGGAGATGCACATATTGAAATTATATCAAGGCCAAGGGTATTGTTAAAGGACAAAGTCATTTAAAGATGAAGCTTTGTAGGCCAAGTGGTATGCACTTAGGTACTCAGCTATTCAGGAGGCTGAGATGGAGGATTACAAGTTCAAAGCCAACTTGGGCAAGTTAAGGGGACCTGACAGAAAAGGAAGAAAGAAAGAAAGAAAGAAAGAAAGAAAGAAAGAAAGAAAGAGAAAAAGAGAGAGAAAAAGAAAGCAAGGAAGAGAGAGTGAGAAAGGAAGGAAGAAAGAGAGAAAGGTGGAGAAAAAAGAAAGAGGAAACTGTTTGAAGCGTGTCTACAGTATAATGTGAAAACTGGAAATGCATTTTCAAGTAGAAGTTTCCATGGCTCAAAATCTGCAACTCAACCTTTTGCATCATCCACCCATTTCAAGAACAAAAAGCTGAAGCCCCAGTAAACTTGGTGTTTTTGCTGTATGTTCATGGGAAGAACACACCTCAGTTCTCCCTGTATACAGTGAAAAGCACAAAAATGAGCAAGACATCCTCTTTTCCCAACTTGACACGTGTTAAGGTGTGCAACCATGAAGTATTTATTAAAATTAGTTTCTTCCTCATTGCCATAAATATAAACAAATCTGAGGAGGAGAGGTCTCATTGCTGAACATTTTCAATTTCCTCAGAGCTTACATTCTTAGAGCAAGTTCTCAAAGCTGCCGGTTTTGTTTAAAAAATGGTTTAAAGAAGCAGCAATGTAACGAAAGAGTACAGTTAGTTTTGCTTAAAACAATAAATCCCTCAATCTCCCCAGCTTCCTAACCTGGAGCCTTCATCTTAACCAATTCCAGAAGTGCTTTTTGACCAGAAAATATAATGTAATAGTAAGCACAAAGGAAGATAAGTTTTATTTTAAGGCTGTATGAAGGTAATCATTGGCTATCATCACAATTACTGTTTACTACAATGTGTCTAACTCACACTTCAAAAGTGCATCCCTTGAGCCTCCCTTCTTTCTTCGCACCTTAGGGATGATGTACACCAAATTCGCTGCCTGGTGCCTTCTGCAGTGAGCACCTGGGACTCTAGCGGGGACTCTGAGGGCTGCTCACACAAAACGTTCCCAGGACACCAAAGACAGTGTAGGCGCTCTCCTTCCACAGTGAAGGGGATTATGGTTCAGAGTTTCCGTCATGGGATCCAGGTTCCAAGCTGGCACAAGTCTGGGGTGTCTGGCTTTGTGGTGTGGCCTTATTGGACTCTGCCCCTGGGGTCTCTTCCTTTTCGGAGCTTCTCTAGGGCACAAAGAGCACAGCAATGGCAGAAACTGAAAGCAAATAGAAAATCACGATCGTGTAATTCTAATAATTGAGGGTAGTATTTACTAAGCACAGCTAAATAACCCTAAACTTTAGCAGGCTTTGTGTCCTGGTCGTGTTCCTAATCACTAAGACGAAATACTTGAGACAACTTAGAGGAAGAAGGTTTTTGTGGCTCACGGTTTTTCAAGGATTGATGCACAGTTGGATCCAGTGCTGGAAGGGTGTGAAGGAAGGGTCTGGTGGAAGAAAGCTGCTCCCATCATGTCAGACAGGAAGCAGGCAACAAGAAGGGAGGCGCCAAGAAGGGAGATGTACGCTTCCAGGTTGCATGCCCGTGGCCCACCTCTAAGCAGGCCCTAACCGCACACTCAGCTGCTCACCTGCTAGTGGACGAGTCCACTGGTAAATATAGTGCCCTCGTCATCCAGTCAACTTCCAAAAGCCCCCTTTGAGTGCGGAAGAGTTTGGGGGACATTTTAGGTCTAAACCCTAGCACTAGCCTCTTAATACCAACAATGGTAATAATGTCCCATACATCTACAGTATTTAGACCTTTTAAAAGTCCTTTCTTCCAAAGCCCTTGTGAGACAAGGTACCCGTATTGTTTTTCAAAAAGTGGAGTGATGAGGCACCAACGGTACCTAGGTAGCATCCCCTTGGCGTCATGCATTTCTTGTCATGCATGCATGCAATGTACATGTATCCAGCATGTACCATCTTTGAAGCATCACATTATGCAAAGGAAGGAGATACTAAAGCACCACACGGGAAAATGGCAAAATGGCAAACACGTCTTGACTCTGTGAAACTGATGTTCTACCTAAAGAGACCAGAAATAAAAAGTGTGCATTGCAGGATACTGCAAAAGAAAAAAGGACGAAAAGGAGTCTTAGTAGGAAATAAACAAACTCTCCATCACACCTGGTCAACTTGCTTATAGCTTAAATTCCAGCCCAGAGATGTTAAAGGAGTCACTTGGCCCAAGCAAACTTTCCATTGCAGGTTCACCCACAGTTACCTTCATCCAACACAGAGCTCCTGTGCTAGACGTGTGCAGCTGAGGCCAAGTGGCCCCCAGGAGGTCAGATGGTATTGGGAGGTCCAGTTCTGCAGCCAGACACAGATCTTATGCAGCTCCAAGCTGGCCCCCAGCACTTTTCATGAATCCCATAAGGAAGAGAGGACAAGTGTCCCCCAACACACCCCAGTCTCTTTCTCCTTCTCCCCAAACTCCAGCAGCCACCTGAATCCTTGTCTGCCCTCCCAGACACCTGAGTCACACCACATTCTTCCTTGTCACGTGCTCCTTCTTTGCCTGGTCTGCACCACTGTGATTGGTTCAATGTGCTTTGTCTCCCTTTAGGGACCTATCAGCGAGCAGAATTTTGAAGCATATGTAAATACACTCACAGACATGTACAGCAATCTGGAACGGGACTATTCCCCAGAATGCAAAGCTCTGCTGGAAAGTATCAAACAGGCAGTGAAGGGTATCCATGTGTAGGATCGCAGTGCTGCCGGCAACAGAGATTACCAACAGCAGTGAACTGCAGATGGATCTGCCAGAAGCACGTGGACTGCTGAGACCTGGAGGTTGCCGTCCTACGTTACAAGCGCAACATTGCACTATTTCCCCCAGCTGACATAAAAAGGAAAGAAAAACTATGATAGACTCTTTAGACTAAAAGCAATGCAGTCAATTATTAGATCTTATTTATTTTCATATGTTTTTCCTTTTATTTCTTCATTGCACTCTTTCTTTTGTAAAGTATATGTAAAATAAATGTGACATTTTTATATTTTATTTATTACTAATCAAAGAATTTTTTATCTTTTAACTGCATTTTGAAGTCTGCCATATTTTTACAAGTGTGTTTATTAATTTATTTTCTAATAGGATTTAAATAGAAAAGATATTCTCAAATCACCTATCTTGCTGGGTTTCCATGAGCAAACAGAAAGGCGTAAAGGAAATCCGTGTGTAAGGACTGCACTAAGGTCGAGTTTGATTTTTATTGCACACTGCCTATTTCTCCCTTCCACTGGTTTTTGTAGTATTTATAAACGAGTTTGCAGTAAGGTGAGCTGCGTGAAAAGACTAAGATGATAAATGGCGCCGCCTAGTGGGCAATCCACCCTCACAAAAGCACAGGACGCTGGACAACAGCCTGCTCAGAATTTGTTAGCAATAAACTAAATATAGCAATCAGCAAAGTATTCGACTTGGTTGCACGGTTTTAGTTGATATGAATTATTTATTTGAAATGTTTTAAAGAAACATAAGGTTTTTTTTTTTTTTTTTAGTAAGGCAGATTTGTCTGTTTTTCAAATCATATCAGATAGTCGGCAAGTCTTACCCCAAGACAAGAAGTAAGACTTGATTTGACCAGTCAGGCTTTCCTGCCGGATGTTGGTACAATATTCAAACTATATTGGTGTAGATTTGTACTTAGCAAATATGAACACATCCAAGTGGAAAATTCTGTAGATACCATATCCCCTGAAATAGCATTTATCTTACTGGGTTGACTAGAAAGGAATGGAAAATATAGTAAGACTTGAAAAAAAGTTACTCCAATTTGAGTAATTGCTTTGAACACCGGTAGCATTGGTGTCATCCTCCTTAGGAACTAAGACAACATTCGATTTGATAAAACCTTGCCATTGGGCTACAAGTGGTACCAAGTATACACACACAGAGACACTCATACACACACACACACACACACACACACACACACACACACACACAGACACTCATCCACACATAAAATTGAGCCTACAATCTTGAATTTCTGAATGGGTCAGAGTTTAGTAGTTGCTATAGTAAAGGCAATGTCTATTTCAGGGATTGTAAAGTAGTTAAGCATTGTTTCAAAAGTTTTTTTATATTTATTTTTTTTAAGGAAAAGGTATAGACAACCAGCTAAACTGCCTTCTTGGTGTGCGCACACGTTTCATGTGCAGACGTGCCTCTGTGTAAATGTACACATGAACTTAGTGTGGGCTTACATTTCTGTGCTATAACAAAAGTGTTTATTTTTTATTAGCCTCATGGATATTTAGACTGAATGTGATGGCATTCACAGGCTTGATATTGCTGTTACCTGCACAAATATGAGAAGTAACCCTCGACAGTAACTCCACTCCCATGACGCTGTGGTCATTGTTATGCATTACGTGGGGCTTATCTTTGGTTTGGGGTTCATTTGAACTCTGGAATCTTAGTTTAGTGAAAATGAGATGTCTGTTCTTAGATAGGAATGGTGTTTATTTAAAAACCAATTTTTAAAAAAAGCTACCATATGTGCTGTCTATTATAATGGGACACCACACAAAATTTTCTATTATTCTGTCCTTGCAAACATTTTGCTATACAGTACTTCAGAGATGCATACAAATGAGTTCATTTATTACAAAAACAAAAGTTTAATTTGCTAAATATTTTAACAAGTCTGTTATATATTTTATTTAATTTAAAAAGAAATCTCTTACCAACCTATGTATTTATTACTATAATTTACTATGACTTCGGGTTAATTTATTTGTGTTTGCATAGTTTGAGCAAGATGTTTTGTGAGTGGTATTTATTTGCCTCCTTTGTACTTGATGTGTTTTGTAATGTGCACTGATTTATTTTTTTCTTTTCAACTCTGTTAATGATCACTACTGTAAATTGGCTCTTTTGTAAACAACACAAAGGCAATGATGTATGCATTTTTTTAATTTGAGGTAGTTTGTTTGTATACTGTTTCTCCAAGCAATTAATATTTCTTACATCCGAGCAACAAATTGTGTTCAGTGCTGTACCTTTGGTGTATGGTAGGAAATAAAAATTGATAATGAGTTTTGCTGTGATCTTTCTCAGGCCACTGTGTGGAGTCGGTGTCACTGTTCCCCAAGACCCGCAGCTACACAACAGCCCCACAGAAGGAGGGCGCTCCCTTGAGCTGTGTGTTGCTATGACAACCAGCCTGCTTGGCTTGTTCTTCTCCCTCTCCAGCGGAGAGACTGTGACCTTGGCTAGGCAGCACCTCAGCGTGCCACGTACCTCCAGCAGGGTGGATGCCTTGAATCCCAGGAGCGTCTTTGCTGTACTAGGAGGAAATTCACCATAGTGAGCAGCAAGACGCAGTCCCAGCTTCCTACCCCCAAAATTGCTTTAGGTACTGAGTATATCTGCATATGCTCATGAACTAGTGCAACTCTCAAAGAAAAAAAAAAGTTAAATCTTGATTGCACTGAATTTGCTTGTGTTTTTTCCCAGCATAATAGTAAATCATGTCACTTAATTTTCCAATTTCTGCCCAGACTTATACATCTCACACAACCAGGTAGGCCTGGTTGTCATACAGGCAATATGATGAAATCCACGTAGCCCGTATAAGGAAGTCAAGTTGACCGAAAGGAAAGCCAGGGCTGTGCTTGAAAAGACCATCATTAAAGAGTGCTTGGCGCCGTTATTGTACAGGGTAGCTTTCTTGTAGCCACCGAGTTTACTTATGCAGGATGCACGTGTGATTCAGCCTGTGAAATGAGATCACAGGATGCAGCCTGCTCCACCAGGTTCTTAGGTGCGCTTGCTGAGTATGTCTTTGCACATCACCCTGGGTGGGATGATAGCAGTGAGTAGTGCTTGCAGCTCTGTCATTAACCTGTCGTAGAGGAATCCTGGTCCTCCTGCAAGTAAGAAAGGAGCACTGAGACAGATGCATCTGCTCCCACCCAGATGTTTAGGGAAAGGGGGAAAATGGACAAAATCGGAGAATAACAGGATAAGATTTCCATCAGAGATGGTTTGTCCTGGCAATTCAAATAATTAGCATGTTAAGAAAACAAAGGGGCTGGGGATTTAGCTCAGCGGCAAAAGCGCCTGCCTGGCAAGTGCAAGGTCGTGAGTTCGGTTCCCGGTACTGGAGAAAAAACAAACAAAAAAAAAAACTGTGTTCAGTGGTGTCCATGTAAGCTATAATAACAAACAAGAATCAGTGACTAGTTTTGCCCTGATCATTTTCAGGCCACCTATCGACATCCCATGAAAAGTCCTTGGGTTTTCAGATATAAGGCTAAAGTACTTCCACTGGAATCAAAGTCCTGAATGAAAACAAGGGGTGACTGGTTCTTTGATTTGCCACATTAAAAAAAGTTTTCAGAATTTCCTTGTTTTAGTGCCTAAATATTTTATTAGTATTCATTCAAACTAATGTCTCTTACGTCTTTTTCCACACAGTACATCTATTTTATTGTGGTCCGACAGCACTACCCTGTTATTTCCTCCCAATATTCAGCAGATAATTGTAAAGTAAGCAGATTGAATTGGCTAATCACTATCCGCACAGTCAGACACAATCAGCGATGCTTTGTGTACTTCATCGCAAGCCCTCAGATTTCCGGAGTCCGTGTCACCACGCACAATTAAAGTGACACAGAACCTGGTGCTCAGAAAGCGTCATAACTTGCCCAAGACCATAGAACGAGGACAAGGTGCAGCCGAGATTCCACCTCAGATACCTGTGGTTGAAAAGCCAGCCACACTGTCTTCCACTGCTCTTAAGGAAAACAATGCCATTGTGTGCAGTTTCTTTATCCTCAGGACCACAGCAGGGCTCAGGGGCTGGCCCATCCAGGAACCAGAGCCCAGGATAGACTTCTAGACCCCACTGTTCTGGTCAGTGGATGGGGTCTGTCTAGGCTCCTGCAGGATCCTGTGTCTTCTGGAGGAGAGAGGTGAGATGATGACATGGGCTTGGACCCTGACATGGCCTGTTGATTTATGCAAACTCGTTAAGCACTTCCTGACTGTTCTATCCGAAGCTTCCCAGCCATGTTGCAATGGAATTATGATCAGTGTTACACTGAAATGAAACTGAGGTTTAGGAAGAATAAAGAATCTGCTTGATCCCCCAAAGATAGGTACCAGGGTCAGGATTCAGCTCCGGTCACCATTTCTGCCTTCAGCCACCCCTCTGCAGCCACTAGCATCTGAACCTATCGTGCTCCATGGAGTCACTGGCTGGTTAGTCACCACTCCAGGAAAGGTCGGGCATCAGGCCCCAAATCCAAAGACCCTGTTCAAAAGTGGTCATGGGAGAGAAACACACACTTCTCAGATGAAGAAAAACAAATGGCAAAGAAACACATGAGAAAATGTTTAACATCACTGGTCATTCGAGAGATGCAAATTAAAACAGCACTGAGATTCCATCTCACCCCAGAAAGAATGGCTAGCATCAAGAAATCAACCAATAACAAATGCTGGTGGGGCTGTGGGGAAAGAGGAACTTCCTCCACTGCTGGTGGGAGTGTAGACCGATGCAACTACTGTGGAAATCAGTGTGGAGATTCCTTAAAAAATTAGGATTATAGGTCCCATTCGACGTAGCCATTCCCCTTCTGGGTATTGTCCCAGAAGAATTTAAAACATCATACCACTGTGATATATGTGCACTTAGGTTTATAGCAGCACAATTTGTTATAGCAAAATTTGGAAACAACCCAAATGTCCATCAACTGAGAAAAGGATAAGAAAAGTGTAATATTTTTATACAATGGAGTATTACTCAGGTATAAAGAACAACAAATTCAAGGCTTTTATAGGTAAATGGAGGCAACTAGAGACCATACTCACAAGTGAAATAAATCAGACCTGCATGTGTAAGAATCATATTGTCTTCCTAGTGTAAGGACCTGAAAGAGTAAATAAAACCAAAAAGGTATAATCAATATTATGAAAGGGAAAGAAACTGCTTAATAGGAAAGAACAACTGGGATGAGGGA